GATCCTCAAGTCCTGCCCGATGTACGACACGATCGCCATTCTGATCTTCCTTTTGCAGCTGCCGCCTATGGTTCTCACTCTGGTTCAGTTCCTCTTTGCTTCCCTGACCTTCATGCCTCCTAGCGGTGCAGCGTCTGGCTCCTTGACCTCCAACTTCGACATCTTTCAGGGCCCCGCCGGAACGCCTTCTCTTGGCACAATGATCGCCATGGATGGATTCTGCTTACTCTTCTGGGGCCTATTTATGTGGACATGGGCGCAGAACTTTGCGCTCGATTTAGCTCACGTTCAAGTTGCCATCACGCTAGGTGGAGGAGGTTCGGGGAAGAATGGAGGGGTCAATGCTCTCTGCGTTGGCATTGTTCTCGTATTACATCTTATCCGCAGTAAAGGTATACAGGATTTTGTTATAGGTCATCTGCTCTCCGCCAAAATCGTCTCGCCTGATTTCTTATCGCAATATTCACATCTCATGCCCCCCGAGTTTCGTCGCACGGAACCGCAAAGCTCCCCAAGTTGGATGCGCAGTCTCCTCGCCGTTCACATCTTGGCTCAAGCAGGCACCGCCATGGCAAGAAGATCGATGGCGAAAAACCGGTCACCGGCTCCCCCTCGCAACGGCAAGCGCGTTGATACCGAAGCCTCTGCCGGGTCGCAGACACAAATCGATTCTGCGTTCGAGTCCGGGGCTAGCGTATCTTCCTACATCGGTGCCGATGGTCAACTCGTTACGCCGGCAACTCATAAGGATGGCAGAGATAGACTCATGTCGGCAAAGAAACGCAGAAGGCAAGCCAATCAGGTCCGGAGCCGTCAACCGTTCTGGGCTGCACTCGCAAGCACGAAGGTGACGGTGATGAGGGAATATGAGCATTCTAGGGCCCTCAACAAAACCGGCAGGGGCCTTATGATGACAGAAGAGGATCTTCAGGGCATTTCGTTGGATGATGGACTTGTTTGGATAACCGAAGTCGATAGCTCTACTATCAAGTTTGCCGCGGGTGACTTCACGTCCGTGGATGATCCCGCGCTTTCCGGCGTCTGCGCAACTACTCGTGTGGGAAATGATGAAGCGGAACCTTTCTACGTCTGTGTTAATGGCGCATTGTGGGCAACGGCAACGATCACCAAGGTGCAAGACGCTCCGAAGGGGTCAAACACGGTACACTGGCGGGGCGAAGTCTCGGGACTTGCTCCTAACTGTGCCTACACTTGCTCCTTCGTGCGGAGCGATACTGATGAAGAGATCTGTGTCATGAGCGTCAAGACACCTGCTGCAACTGACGCGGAACAAGGTAAGGGAATACCTCGTTTGGCCTCCGGTTCGTCCGAAACAGTTGGCTCACATCGGCCACCAGCAGTCTCTTCGATCCCAACTCCTCCGCAACCTTCTTATCGTCCGTCATCACCGACCACTACGCTCAAGAATTCGATCATCAACGCCGAGGTCAAACTGAATGAGAAACGCGCCCGGTTAAGGAAAGCCAAAAACGACCACAAACTCGTCATTTCCAAAATCAGGAAGGAACTGGATAACTACAACCATCGTCTGCAGAGTGGTACCGATGAGAACCGACAGAAGCAGCGCTCGTTACAGCTTGAGAGAAACATTAAGCAAACGGAGGAAATCACAGCCGCTCTTGAAAGCCAACTCGACAATCTGGAGAACATTCCCGAGGAAGAACTTGAAGAATGGTCGACCCAGAAGTCCAAGTACGAACGGGAGTTGGAACAACTCAACCTGGCTAAGGAGGAGCTCGTTTCTGCTCGGGCCGCTGTTGCTCGTGAAGTGTCGTCATTGGAGTCGGAGCTGAACTCGGCTATCCAGCGAAAGGAACGTCTTCAGGGCCGCCGTACTAGGGTCAACGAACAATACGAGCGGATCGTCTCTGCCAACGCCCAAGGCTTGAATGAGCGGGAGCGCCGTGCTGCGGAACAATTTGCTCGGGAGCAGGACCAGGCAAAGTTAGAGGCCAACTTCAACGAGCAGTTTGCCAGCATCAGCCAATCCGTGCAGGAGTACCAGATGCGCACCAACCAATTGTGGCAGCAAGCTGCTGCTATTGAGCAAGCCATCCAGCAGCAGCAACAGCAGATGCTCTTGGATTCTGCCCCGCTTACTCCCGAAGGGAACCTGCCTGGCACCAACCCTCTGACTGAGGCGCCTGGCATATCTTTGGGAGCATTGACAACGACTGCGCCCAGCACCCGATCTCTCCTGGGACTTAGCTTTCCCGCGCTGAAGTCTAGTCCGCTGCAGCATGCCTCGTCCCCTGTTGGTGCCGCTTCGTCTCATCCGACTAGCCCAACACAGCCACCTTCCTATTTGCAACACTTCCCGACTTCCCCGCTTGGTAACACCGGCAACTACTTCGATACGGATTTCAGCTACCGTGACCGGTCTTTTTCCAACCGGTCTGCGCACAGCAGTCTCTACGGTGCTGATTTCTTGGACTCTAATCGTCGTGGTCCCTTCCAGCTTGATCTTTCCGACACGGTCATCGAGAAGCGGATGGATTCGGGCTCCGAGGGGGTAACTCCTAACCCGATCATGAGACCCATCTCCACCCCGTTCCAGCGGGCCGATAGTCGTGGTAGCGGAAGTGGAAGCGGAAGTAGCGGTGCAAGCGGTAGTGGAAGTGGCAGTCCCAGCTCGACGGGTGGTAAGGGCAACTAGGCGAGGTGAAGGGACAAGTCTGTGGTTCTCCATGAGTTCCATCTGGCTTGTTTCGGGTTGCGTTATGGTTCCATTTCCTGCTTGGTCGTGTTCATCTTCAGACGTGATGCTCAAGGTTGTATGGTGGTTTACCTGCTTCAGGGTTCCTTGGCCCAGACGAGTCCGCGGCCGCCGTGTGTCTTCCATCTTGGTATTCCATCGCCTGTGAACAAAGAAATCTTGTGTCATATGTAGAGCCTATTCATAATTTGCCGAAAAGCCTGTTTCTGCACATTTTGTGGTTCCATTGTAGATGTCCATTTTAACGGTAGCATCGTAGCTGGCGTAACCCATGAGTTGCTGGTCAACAATCAGCTCCTTGTGTATCATTTAGACCATTCTTTATCTACTAAGTAGTATATATTCTACGCCTTAACATCACTATAATACTTAATTCGTAACTGCCATTCGCACCGTCTTACACAAGTATTGGTAGACATAGATTCTTACATACCCCATAGTGTATCCTCATATCCCTCCACAACTGCTCAGAACAGACAGTCAAGACCCTTTTATTCTATTCAAGTACCAAAAACAAAGAAAGGCAGGCTTGTATGTAATATATAGAGCCAGCAAAAAGAGATATGCGACACCTCTGGGACTCGAACCCAGGCGGGCGAACCCACAGGCTAAACAGCTAGTACGGTGAGGTAGTAGCAGGCCTGCGCCTTAAACCACTCGGCCAAAGTGTCTGATTGGTGGATTTTATTCTAAACAGCTATATAACACGCCGGTAAGCATGCTCGTCTCTATGTTTGAGAGGGTTAGGTAGACAACACATCTTCGGATATATGGAGGATAAGCCCGTCTAACAGTATCAAATATTGAATTAATATGCTACTTCGAGCCATCGATCAATCTGATAAAATTACAGTAATAGATGTTATCATTTTACCAGCTGAGGAGGGTTAGTGGTTCTGGATAGTAGGCAGGGCAGAAGCTAAGTACTTCGTAGCTACCCTAAGAGTGAGTGAGTGCATAAACAGTACCTTCCAGATCCCTGTTAGATAGACTGACATCATTAACAAAAAGAAAAAGGACTACATATCAGTATATGTGTGTATATATTCGCCACACAAAAAGAATGAATCGACACCTCTGGGACTCGAACCCAGGCGGGCGAACCCACAGGCTAATCAACTAGTACAGGAATGTAGTAGCAGGCCTGCGCCTTAAACCACTCGGCCAAAGTGTCCAGATCTGATGAAGTGGCGGCTGGAAGCGGTTTGGAGCTGTAGAGCAGTAGTATCTCAGGAGTGAACATCTTGACATAGTGCTGTATTTCAGACGGGCTCTTACTCCCCGAATAGTCCGGCAAAAATAGCATTATTGCTGGTGGTGATTTCTAGGAAAAATGCGCAATTGCTTTTCATATATCCCATTACTCTCGCATGCTGTGTAGGGAGCGGACGGAACAATTGGACGATGATTCAACTTGGTAGCCTGATGACTGGCTTACCTCCGGAGTAGAGTACTAACCATGGCACATGCATGCTAGGGTAGGGGTCATCACGTACATATGTGTGCTGTATGATGCAATTAGCCTAGGGTAAATATGTATACATATGCAAGAGACCACTGGTAGTAAATACGGTATCTGATTCCTCTTAATGTGCCATGTATAGCTCCTTTATCCTCATTATCAGCACATCATGGAATCTATTACCTTCAGGATAGAGAGTCACTAGAGGCAGCCTCGCCACCATCCAATCAGACACTTTGGCCGAGTGGTTTAAGGCGCAGGCCTGCTACTACCTCATCGTACTAGCTGTTTAGCCTGTGGGTTCGCCCGCCTGGGTTCGAGTCCCAGAGGTGTCGTATCTAATAACTTTTTTTCTACTACTTGACAGTTAATTCGAATTGCCCCTGACGTGCGAGCCTTCAGTGGTGCCCATCATCAAAGGCCTGCTAGTCGTGTTCTCTAACTCATCTGGCTATGTATGAAAAGGCTTTTTTGAAGTTATATCCCTGTAGTGATCCCAACCATGGAATGGAAGACAAAGCTCTGCCTCAAGCCTTTGATAACACGCCAAGGGAAATGAAGTATTGCTGCTTTTCAGATAAAGAGCTTTTGTGATCGGATAGTTATGTGAGGGCTAAATTTGCTACATAATTATACAGGTTCAGTTGGGGTAACAACTTATGGGCCATTGTTTGGTTTGGCCCACATGGTTTATGGCATTCTATACAGAATATGAAAGGACAAACTGGAGATAGCAATGACTCGGGTAGTAACCTAACGATGCCCTGCAATAAAAACCCTGTCACTACCTCCGACGGTACCTCATACCAAACGTACAAGAGCCTCCACAATATCTGCCATTGCGCGAGTATCATAAGATGCATTGTGATAATTTCGAGATGACATGTTTCCTTTGCCTCTTACGAGGTACTCCCTGACCGATTCGAGTCGCTTTGAGGGGAGATTAGGCAGGATTTTCCTACATAGATCACCGATGTTGACTGGTTGAAAATTCTTAGATGTTAGATGAGAGATCTTGCCATGGATCAACGCATCTTTTCCAGTAAGTAGCCTGAGGAAGCATTGCATGTCTTGAGCAGAAAACCAGGATAGTAGCTGTACGCCACTATGGTCATAGCCACAGACAGTCCTGACAAACTCCCTTATTTTGGAGGGGGTATCGCCATTCGTTCTCAGACCGCCATAGCACCTCAGAAAAAGCGTCCCCATCATTTTATGCTTATTAGAGACGTATGGGGAGACGGCTTCTACGAGTTCTCCCATAGACATGCTGTAATCCACATTTTCCGCGTATAGAAGTTTTCCATCGAGCTGTCTAATCGCAAATTGCAGCGGAATTGGCGAGTATTTAGCTGGCATCGAGATAAATTCGAAGTCAATGATCCAAGTTCTGTTAGGGCGCGAGTAAAGGCTTTTGAGCTGTAGTAAAGCTCCCCGCGTATCATCTGTGATAGATACCTGTCGCTTAAAGGCGCCATCTGCGAGCGAAGTCCCACCCGAAGTTGAGCCAGACAGATTAGAGGCATGATTGATGAGTGCCCTGGAGTGGTATAGGCAGTAATACGAAGCTACAGAAGCCTGAGATTCTGGACATGTATAAAACATGCATCTTCTCTTCTCGTCAACAAACTCCATTGATTCTACCAGGCTCAGCTTCAGTGCATGCGTAATTTTGCTGCGAATGTTTTGTATAGAGGTAGCAGTGACATCTTCGTGTTCGAATGACTTTTCAATGTCTTCAAGTCCCAGCTTCGGTGTGGTGCCAATACCAGAAGCGTCAAGATGGTGTGAAGACCGAGTTAGAATCTGTTCATCAGAGACTCTATTGATGAGTGTAAAATGACCGAGCTCGACTAGCTGAGAAGGTTGCACTGGCGCTTTGAAGAAGGACACTCGGGGCGCCTTCTCTATTATCGTATTTATCATGGATTTGATATCTGTATACTTGCCATACATTGGGCTTAATGGCTGTCCGAAGCGGTAGCTGGAATGCAAGATTGTGCTGTATAATGTCCACGTCGGGGCAAAACGGCGCGGCCTCCAAGAAGATGTCTGTAAGAAAAGCATCTCAACGTCTGTGATGTAAAGGACCGGACTCAACCTAAATTTCGAATGTATAGGTTGTGAGTCTTTGTAATATCTCTGCATATACTCGACCACCTGCTCTCTGCTGTCAATGCGTTTCCTCTTTCGTCCTCTGCACTTCAACAATTCGTGATCTATCGTCCAGCCTTGGAGGTACAAGGTGTCAGGGGCCATCTCATTGACTACTGCACCCTTAAGAGAAAGTGACAATGGCAGAAGAATTCTGATACTGTCTCTGAATACAAGCCAGATGGCCCAATGCTGTGGTGCGCCTCGAAATGGTTCGTTATAATCAAATCCGACTCGAACTGGAATTGCTGATTCGATCTGAGTCAAAGTATGGATGTTAACAACTATATATAGTTTGGGGCGTCTTGATACTTACTCTATTATCGTTATCAATGATCTGTTGACATATGAGCGCGACGCAAGACCCTATTTCATCATAGCAAGGATCATGCGATCGTGAGCCGAGCCTTCTGCTGTCATAACTAGGAGCAATTTCATACAACTTTGAGTTAACATACTGCACCCTCGACTTTTTCATAGTCGGATGGTGGGCTTGTGATGTATTGCAATGGGAGATACAATCTGCAGCACCCGACGGCTGTGATGGCCGTTTCATGCTGTCAACCGTGGCTGGGACACTTGGATGACCTGGGTGTGATCTTTCTTCCGCCTGGCCGAGAAAAAGGTAAGCATCTGCAAAGCTCTTAAGCCGGCCGAGGCGTCCTCCCTCTATTCCAATAAAGGGAACTGGATGCTCGTAAGGGTGCAACTAAGATAAGTAAGTGGGTTGTTCCGCAAGTCGAGTGACAGAGATCTGTACCTTATAGAACTCGCTTCGCTGTATGAAATGGCGTTGGAAGAGCTGTTGTGGCAACAGCCTAAGGAAGGCATAATCAATCGGTTCCAAATTGATTTGATAAACTCGAGGGTGGTACCCTGTGTTTGTCTGCCCTTGAAGAGCCTTGTTTCATATCTGTAATTTTCTGCTTTTCCATGATCCATCTCTGCAATGTTCCTATAGAAATGTGGAGGATCTCTGATGCAGTAGATAATGAGATTGGCCTTTCCTGTCCAGTGATGGGGTTAATGTGCTTTCGTGATTGACAGAAATTGATCGCATGCAGTCTGTCCTCTCTCGAGTATATCTTGAACGTCCGTTTGTAAAGTCGACGTGCCAGTCTTTTGTTTCCCACACTCTCAAGCAAAGACTGCTGGGCATCATCAAGAGGTTTCCAAAGAACAGAAACACTTTCCTGTCTATTTTCAGGGGCTTTTAACAAGCTTGGTGTCTGCAAATCAGACATGACGGATGAGATACAATTATCATGGACACTCCTAGCTATTCATTGTCAAAGAGAAGATTCATAGGCTCTGGAGGATATCACCATGGCAGGAGAACGCAGTGAAACACAAGAGTCATGTGACTTGCCATCGCAGTGAAGGAAGGCCTTATATTAACTATTTCTATAACTATTGGATCTGCTTAGAACCTATACCATTGTTTTCTAAATCACAGATGAGTCGGATGTCAATCTTGCCGCCAGAAGTCCCGACTTGCCATGAGCCCTCGGTGGGCTGAATCGAACGGCCGTGTCTTCCGTGCCTCAACTTTCATGGCATTGATGAAGCGCCTGGGGTAGAAAGATTACTATATGAAGATGTACCATTCAGAGTATACTTAGCCCTTCCTATAGATCTACAACTACTATTTTCAGTATATAATGCCTGAAAGGATAAAGATAAGCTCGTAGCCATAGCCAGTAAAACTTACTCATATGATCTTCTCGCTCTGTTTACTAGTCTGCCTCTTAGAAACGCTTGTTTTCTAGTATATCTCTGCCCAAAATCCAACCCGTAACTGATATGATCCCGTTGACGTAAAGGTTCATATTCATCAGGGAAAGCCAAGAGACATTTGTATTCATCATCGTCACAGCCGATGCCATCTCTGATACAGACGATCTTATCCTGCATGATGATTTCCAACTTAGCCATGGTTCCATTGCAGAAAAACCCGTCCTGAGGCGAGACTCTTGTGCGAAGTTGTTCCGTTGATAGTATGCGTTGAAGAAGCGTATCGGTTATGTCACAGACCTGCCAAGTATCACCGTCGGCCACAAACTTCTTCCCATTGAAAACGTAGGAAATATTGTCACCCCCCTGGAGGAGTTTGGGGAAAGCGAGAATGCCTTTTGTGGCCCAGTCATGCTTGCCGGGCTCCACAACAGGGTCGAACTCCATGCGAAAGGATATTGTTTGGTAAAAGCGAAAATCAGGCCTGAGCCTTGGGTCAACGCCGAACTTGATCAATGCCTTCTTCCATGGACCATTAGTGAACATGTACCCGCAGACCGGCAGAGCTTCTCCAAGGTCGCTTTCACGGCGCAGCTGGAGTTGGCTTTTGATTACCCTGATTGTTACTATTGGGCGGCGCTCCAGGATATCATGAATCTGACGTGCCGTTTCTCTAGTAGACTCATCCAGGGTCGAATACTTATCGATCAGGCGGCTGCCATCTGGAATCTTCGCGGCATCCATATTGACGGTGGCACCTGTGAACTCCAATTCCCCAAGGATACTGACATTATCCTCTACATCTTTGCAGGCTTGCTTAGAGGCATCGATGGAATTGTTACTGGACGTGCTGTAGTCGTCATCGTCGTCACTGTTGCTATCGTTGTTATCGTCGTCAAAGTCTGCGTTGTCTTTAAAAGCTAGCGAGCCTGCAACCTCATGACCATAAGCAGCTCGACCCTGTTTGTCTCTGTACTCTTGTTTGTTTTTGACAACTTTGTTGTTATTGCTATCTCCAGAACTGTTGCTGACCGCATGGGATGATCTTTTAGAGCGCATGGTGAACAGTGTTGTTCACGAATAATTGTTGGCCTTGACCAAAGCTGCTTTGCCCTGAGGGGAGCATTGCGATACGCAAGATGGCTTAATGTAATTCAGTGGACTGGACTTGGGTAACAGTAATTTGGCGTGTGAGTTAATGAGAAGTGTAAGACAACCCTAAAGAGGTGTGGATAAGTGAATAGTGGGGCAAGTTGATAGTGTGCAGCCCACGCTGTCACTCATCGATTATATGAAGCCTCCCTTATACGCTAGTTTGGATCTCGGTGAATAATGGTAATAAATCTAAGACTCCAAAAAGAGAGTAGATGGACAATATCATGCATGTTGCTTGGTGTGTCTATGTGCGAACAACTAAAATACCCCATGTTTTCTGTTAGACTATGCAACTCACACTTAATACTACAATACCTAATTCTTGTTTAATGTACGATGCTCACACGTATTTGGTAAGACCAAGATCTATGGTGTATTAATCTATGTACATGTAATGGAGATAGTGTTTGCGAGATTCAGCTGAAGCCCAGGATATCGAGTTTGCATAATATACAGTGGTAAGTAATTCCTTGAGAGCCTTCCAGCACTCGAACAGTATGGTGTGTATGGCCCGTATCTAGAGCATCGGGTAATATAAGTGGAGAGTGGCTTGAGTGACCACGGATTTTAAAAGCCGTCTTTCATATCTCGTGGCCCATTTCCCAGAAGTGAGTATTTGCGTACGTCAGGCAAAGGTCTCCAGCCTTTGTCTCGGAGTCAAGGCCTAACAGCTCTCCTGAAAGCGCTCGAACAACAGTTCCCACGACGATCGTATGGTCCTGGACCTGGATACTCTGAGGGTGAAGCTGACACTCCAATACGAACGGAAAGTCTTCCGGTCTCGTGGTCGTAGCATCCTGCTTCCTCTGCAACAACGGAAGAGGTCTCCCCGAGGTCTCATCACCACGAAGGGAATGTTCATGCGCAACGAACTCGTATTCACTCTTACCCTCCAAGAGGGACAAATTGTGGTTGCCCTTGGAGAAGTCTCGTGCAAGGATCGCGGTTGTCTGCCGGGGAGCGAGGAGGTGTACAAGGAAGCGCTTCGACGATTGAAGTGCACTAAGCGTCTCGGAGGGTCGGCGCACGTTGAACGATATGACGGGTTCCGGACTGAGGGTAACGGTGTTGAAGGAGGAGACAGTCATTCCGCGGAAGGCCTTATCTGCCGGACCGTTGGGATCGGTGGCCGTGATGATGGCGACAGGGTAAGGAACTCGTCTCATCAAGAGGCGGACTTGATCGGATAATGAGGCGACATCATTCTTCGTATGCTGAGCCCCTTTCAAGTCGGATTGGGGGTTTCTAGCGGCTGCGGCGACTTTGGTGACCGTTCTGCGGAATTGCAGTTGACCGTATCGGAGAGCTGTTCCAATAGATGGTGCACATTGCCCTTTACAAGCAAATAGTCAGTTACCGTATAATATTTGCGAGCATACAAAGCAGACCAACTAACCTGTGAATTGGCCCGCCGTCCGACAGGCCGCAAGTATAGATCTAGAGTAAGGAAGCATTATTGTGCCGCGGCGGACGGAGCTCGCAGCTCACGGAAAGACGGGCAAAAGAACAGAGGTGAGAAAAGCAACAGAAAGACTCTCGGAGCCCTCCAAAGTCATCATGAAGACACAGACAGAAATCCCTCAGCGGTTCAATGGGCAACCATACTAGCCATCAGACCGTAGCAGGCAAATTGATGGGTTCAAACAAAGTCGAGTTGAAACTCCGCGACAAGAAAAAGAGCAACCCACGGGATGCTGACATAATCCCCGTCGTTCCGCCTCGAATAATTTGTCTTTGGCCAAAGACAGACCGGAAGATCACCGCAGCGTCGCAGTCTCCAGTCCAATTTCTCCCACCTAGGCTCGGTATATTCAATCACCTCGCGGGCGTCCCCTCAATTACCGATTTCTCTTCCGGTCGCCAAAAAAAGAAAACCATGTCCCTCAGCACTCCTCTCCGCCGCACCGCGGCCACCACCTCCCGTGTCCAGACCTCCACCAGCTTCATCTGTTCGCAATGCCGACATGCGTCTCTCCTTCGTCGTCCTAGACGCCCTTACCAATTCACCCAGCTGATTACCCTGACCGACGGCAGCACCTTCACCCACCGTACCTCTTCTCCTCTCCCCGTCTACCGCTCGACTCGTGACACGCGCAACACTCTGCTCTGGAATCCTACCTCAAGCAAGCTGAAGAGCGTCGAGGATGATGAGGCTGGTCGATTGGCGGCTTTCAGAGCTAAGTTCGGTCGCAGCTGGGATGTGAACACGTCTGTGGAGGACTCTTCCAAGACGACGGACAAGTCGGCACAAAGTAAGGAGGCTGCTGCTGCGGAGGCCGCTGCCGCTGCTGAGGAAGAGGACGACAACTTGCTGGATTTGATCAGTTCATTTGGTCAGGAGGAGCAGCAGGCTTCTCAGAAGAAGAAGAAGGATTGATCTGATTGATTGATTTGATTGAGTTGGATTGGATTGTGCCGGGGTGTATGTATGATGATAGTGTGGGCGATTTAAGGACCTTTTATTCCAGTTTCTTTTTTTTTTTCTCGATGTTGTTGTTATACGATACAGATCTTGCTCGGCTTTATGTACAGTACATCATACCATTTAAATGGAGTTTCAGCATCGGTGGTTCAAGACTTGTTTTTTCCTGGAGTGTAGCCATTGCACTGTCTTTGAGTCGATGTGAATGAACATGATAAAAGCCATTACTATACTACATTGGAGAAGCCATTGATATCAGGGCGCTGCTATAGTGATCCATCCCATTGAATACGTATAAACGACTCGCCATAAGAAAATGAACAAACGTGCGCCGCTCCTCTCAGTAAGCAGGCAAAGTGATAATTAACGTTGCGTAATACCGCAAAGTGGAGGGTGGAGGGGACATCAACAAGTCGTCGCTTTTCTTTTGTACAGAGTCTGACAGGTAGGGAAACCGCCTATGCCTCCTCTGCCGGAGTAGCTTCAGCGGTTTCCTCGACTGCAGGGGGCGCCGAAGCATCGCCAACTCCTGCGGTGCCGTAGAGGGGGTTTCCTTCTTCACCCGCATCCAGCTGCAAGAGGAACGTTTCCCAAAGCTCGATCAACTGTGAGACCTATGTTAGCAAACATTTGTGACAATTGTATACTGGAAAAGTAGCTGCTCACCTCTTTTTGGGCTTCCACTGCACTCTCCAAGAAGGTCTCAACCCCAGATTTGAAATCCTCCACCTTCTCCTTCTCGAACCGCTGGAGCTCATTTCGCATAAGCCGACCCATATCCTCGAATAGTAGCCGAGCCTGGTGAACCTTTCTCTCGGCATCGGCCACATCAGCGTTGACTTGGGTCAGACGATCTTGCTGCGTCTTGCCCTGCCTGAGGAGCTTCTCTTGCGTATGTTTGCGCTTCTGCATTTCCGCTTCCGCCGCGTGCCAGCTGTGAAAAGCCTTCTGGCGCTGGGAGAAAGCCGTCTTCACACTTCCAATCAAACGAAGATACTCGTCGATTGTGATTCCCAGAGTGAGAACATCCTGTTGAGCTTGGCGTTCGTACAGCTCCCTTATGCGTAGCTGTAGGTCGGAAAGGCCATCCAGGGGGGTAGAAAGCGCAGGAGACAGCTCGACAGCTGCCAATGCATGAAGGGAAGCCGAAAAGTCGCCAGCAGCTTCAGCCAGTCCTTTGCGCTGCGCCACCACTGTGTCGACCGATTTCATCAATGCCTTCAACTGATTCTCCAGGGCGTCCATGTAGATCTTGCGGTCATGGAACCACTGAAATTGTCAGCACGGCTACCTGCTCGCACTCGTAGACAAACTTACATCATCGTGCTCGACGAACTTTCCACCACCACCGACGTTAATGCCAAAGGAACTGAACATGCCCTTGTTCTGGCCAAGGTCAGGTTCCCTGTTTTCCTTGTTTTTCACGTCCATGTTGAAGGTTTCGCTCTCGAGGAAAATCTTAAGATCGCCATCATGCTGGAGAATAGGGTGTGCCGCGATTTTGTTCAGCATCCGCTCAAGAGCAGCCCTCCTAGACTCGACGAAGTTCGTGTCGAAACGGCCCACCGCTTGCTTCTCCGGAGGAGGGGGGACAACAACACCGGGGTTGTTGTTGTGCATTGAGTTATAGAGCCACAGGAAGTCACGGTATCTGCGGCTGACCGTAAACTCCGGTTGTCGGTAGGCTTTGGAAGTCGTCTATATGTAGCATGAGCAGTGTCCCACAGCATCCCACTAGAACGACATACCTTGGTTCTCACTTGATACACAATATGACTGCTGGTGAGGTCTCCAACTTTGTGCGGATCGCCGACAGTGATATCGAAGGTCGGGTTCGCAGCCTTTTCCACGCTAATACTGGGTTCTGATTGCCGTTTCGCCCCTTCCGCCTCACTCGGGGGTTGTACCGGCGGAGGTCCTCGAAATCCTGCACCATCCTCTTCCAGATTCACGGAATCCGCCAAGCCAGTTCCTGCGGACGCTTGGGAGGCAGATGATGTGGGACGAACATTGCGCCCTGAGAACTCCTTCTGCGGCGGGGCAGGTGCCTGCTCAAGGGGACTAGTTTCCGCCTTATCCCCGAGCGGACCAAGGGGATCAAACGAGTCATCCACCGCCTCTAACTTCGTCGCTTGCGCATTGATCCTTCGGGTGCCTCGCGGGCCTCGTCGTACAGGGGAACGGGGGGCACTGGGGCTAGCTTGTTGTGTCGGTTGGTCGGGAGCTGGGAGATGTCGTCATCAGGTTAGAAAGCTCGGACAAGAGGGACAGGGATGCAAGATGCTCTTTAGGGACATACACGTTTCCTCTGCTTCAGATCGGGATGCTTGATGGGTGGTGCTCGATTGCGAAGGCACGTCTGCATACCTGCGTTAGACGAAGCACGATGCGATTGTATCCGTGACTGCCTGGTTGCTTACCGCCCCACGGGGAGTCACCAGCGTCGAGATCCATGAGAGACGTGGGTATCAAACTGGGATAG